GGGTCGGGCTGGAGCTGGGCGCTTGCCTGGAAAGAAAGCTGGGGTGGGATGGAGCCCCCTCTGCCGGGATCTCTCCCTGGGACACAGGGGGCTGCAGTGCTGGCTGTGGGTCAGGCAGGGTCTGCAGGCAGACTGACGGACAAACTGACCCTTGCTCGGCTGCCATACTGGAGACCCAAGTGCATGACAGCTTTTGGGGGCTTTTCCCACCCTCTTCCCTTCACAAGGGGCTGTGAGCTTTGACACCTCTTTATGGTGGGTGTTCACCCCCACGCTGGAGGACTGGCCACATCCACCCTGCAGTCCCACCTTGGCTGGGGATGGAGCACACGGAATGAGGGGCCAGATCCTGGCCATGCTGTCCCAGCCAGAGGCCCTTCCTCTCATTTGGTTGCAGGGATGTCCCCAGCACCCTTTCTCATGGGGAACAGCGGGATGAAGGCAAACCAGAGGAAGTGGTGTTGGGGGGGTGTCATCTCCCAAGCATGGTGCTGCCTGGGGCACGCTAACCTTTGCGGGCAGTATCGTTGGTCGTCTGCGGAGCTGGTGGCCCTGTGGCTTCGTGAGATGGTCTGGTCATCACTGGGGATGCTGGTGGGGACCTGGCCTCGGGGTCTTTTGAGGAGCTGCGCAGAGAATGGGGCAAGTCAGGCTTTAGTTGGGCTGGCGGTCCTGGCTGCGAGGCACCTCGCATCCATCTGGCAAGGACGCAGTCCATGGCATGGGGTGGGATGAAGGGAGGACATGTCCCACCAGACTTACACCTCTCCATCCGGTAGAGCGGAGTTGCTGGCCGGAGGGGGCTCGGGGGATGGCTCTTCCACCGGGACGGCCTCACCAAGTCCACTTTTTGCGGGTAATGTGAACATGCCGGAGACGTTGAAATCTACCTCTGGGTGGAGAGCAAGGAGGAGACCCGGAGAGGAAGCTCTCGCCATGCAGAGCTTCCCCCAGTGACCCCATGGCAGGAAAATGGAGCAGCCCCCTGCTTCCTTCCTCCTGGGGATGGAGAAATGGCCCTTTCCCTTCCTCCCCCCTTCACTCTCTGCTGAAGCCCTCCTGAGCGAGGCCCTGGCCCTACCTCCAGGGAAGAGGGTGTCCGCGTTCTGGATGAGGGCTTCCACCACGCCCACCACCTGGATGGAGGAGACCGAGGCCAAGTCCAGTTGCACAGGGTCTCTGAGAAACAGAGGTGGAGGAGGCATCAGGAAAGGGTTTTGAGGGCATTAACCCTTTTGGTGTTCATTCCTGAGGGGACAGAGCCCAAAAGTGAGACAGCCCAGCTGAGGGGGGTGGGAGGGTGGGAGGGAGGTGGGCCTTGTTCCCTGTCCTGGAATCCCTAGTTTGGTGTTGGAGGTCAATGGTGTTGGAAGCCATCCATATCACAAGTGCTCTGGGTCTCAGCCTCTTCCTCTGCTACTTTGTGGAGTGGTGAAGCGGATATGTGCTTGGCGAGGGGACATGCCACTCAGGGAGTGCATGGACAAAGGATGGGACTTGGGGATGGAGGAGGTGCCGGTGCTTTAGACCAGCCTGAAGGCTGCAGGATCAGCCTTTCCCATGGCATTAGGGCTCAGGCACCCTGAGCTGCTTCCCACCCTCTGAGCCTGGCCTTACCCTGTGCTCTGCTGCGTCCACAGCAGGTTGGGGCCCAGCACGATGGCAATGTTGCTGGGGGTCATTTTATTCAACTCCTGGTGTTCGGCCAGCTTGGCTAAAAACTTGATCAGATACCTGTGGGGTAAAAGGAGGGTGAGGGGGCAGTAAGTATGGATTCGGGGAGGGAACAGCTGCCCCCGGTGATTGCTTGGGGCTGAAGAAGCCCTGTCCCTGCAAAACACCTCAGATTGTTGTAGTTTTCCGGGGGCAGGTGGCTGCAGGTGTCTTGCAGGCTCTGTACGCGGTCGTCAAAGTCCTTAAAACTGCAAGAGAGAAGAGGAGGAGCAGAGAGCTCAGCCCGCTCCCTATGGCAGGGAGGGACACGGCATGCAAGGGAGGAAGGCCAGTGTCGGCCGCCCCGTGCGGGGATGGAGGTGCCCTGCTGCTGCCTTTACTGGGCAGCTGAGCCAGGCATCAACAAAATCACACCCCAGAGGCTCAAAGGGGTTTAATATGGTAAGAATATAGCTTGTGGGTGGGCCTGGGGGCGAGCACTGCCTTGCCACAAGCAGCAACCCTGTTTCACCATGGCTGCGGGGGTCAACGGCACTGAGCCAATCCCTTTAGAAAGGTGCTCTCCCCCTTCCCCCAGGCTTTTTACTGTGTCTCCTCCACCACCCCTTCCATCCCGAAAGCAAGAGGCCAAATGGGGCGCTGGGCTGGTGAGGTGGGGCTCATGCCATTGAGCCCAAGCAGGTCTTCATAGGCCAAGCTCTTCTTGCAATCAAAAAGGCTGCAGCCTTCCCTCTCACCCTGCCGAGTTTTTTGTTGCTATTGCCCGATATTTTGGGCCATTTGGATTTCTGCCGAGCATGGGACAGACCAGGCGCTGCATTTTGTCTCCCCACGTGGCAAGCAAGGCTGAGCAGCCCTGCTCTGAGTGCTGGGAGGGATGGAGGGAAGGTGGCGGGGGTGCTTTTTGAGCCCCACCAGG